CAAAAGAACTAGTTCAGGAAGACCCTAGGTTGGGTACAAACAAACTCTCACTAAGGACGTGGGCCCAATCGACTTTGATCGGCTTGATCAGTGGTGATCAATAACTTCGAGGAAGGCGGGAAGCCAATTTCAGGCGATTGGGGGCAATCAGCTGATCGCGATCTGTTGATCGCGCCAACTCGATCAACCGCCTCGAATTGCCCGATCGGACCCGATCAGACACAATCAGCCCCGATCACTTGGTTGCATGTGATCGGTGTCACAAGAACGAGCAGAAAGTTTAGAAGCAGAAAGAGGGTTTGCACTAGCAGCAGTTGAGATACATATAGGAAACCCTAATTGGGTTGTACTCGCTATAGAGTACCCCACTGCAGGCTAGACAATTACATCATTCTGACACACCCCCATAGCCAAAGTGGGGTGTAATCAACACAACAAGCAGTCACAAAATAGTTCACAAGCCCAAGTAAAGCTAGAGGTAGTCACAGAGGGCAAGTGAGGAGGAGGAGGGACTGTGAGAGGAGAGGAGATGGGAGGTGACGGCGAAAGCTGCAGACACACAGGAGCTGCTGGCTCAGTGGCTACCGAAGCAATGGCCCGGACTACAGGAGTAACTGGCTCCGCGGAGATTGTAGCCTCCTGTCTGGAGCAACTGACCCACAGGCGACTGGCGACTACCGGAGATTGTAGCCTCCGGACTACTGGTGCTGCTGGCGACACGACTGCGACCTCCGCTCAACCTCCGCCAACTGCCCCACGCCCCTAGCACACACCCCCTGCTGCACCCCTAGCTCCACTCCCACGTCACCCCCTTAGCACCACTCCTTCGGCTCCCATACACCACCCCCCTGAGCGGCAGCTGCAGCAGGGGGAGACGGAGGAGGAGGAGTAGGGGACGGCGCACACAACCGGCACCCCCACAACCGCCACCCCCACACTCCCCACCCCCAAACCCTAAAAGAGATGGCACGGGGCAGGAGCGCGGGGGACGGCGAGGGGACCACGTGCGGCCCCCAGGGCGCCACCACGGGGCAGCAAGGGGGGTCGCGCACGGCTCCAGGGGTGGCGCGTTGCCCCCAGGGCGCCACCACGGGGTAGCGAGGGGCTGCGCGCGGCTCCCCAGGGCGCCGCGACGAGGCAGCGGGGGGGTCGCGTACGGCTCCAGGGGTGGTGCGCGGGTCCCCGGGGGCGACGCGAAGGTCGACGGGGATGGCGCGCGGGTCCCCTGAGGCGACGCGAGGGTCGACGGGGTGGGCGCGCAGGTCCAGCGGGGCCGGCGCGCCAGGAAGAAAAGGGGTCGCGCGCCTCGGGGCGCGCGCCAGAGAGCAAATCGCTACGTCGCACGCCACGGGGCGTGCGATAGATCGAGTAGCAGCGGAAGCAGGTTGGTGGGCCCACAGGCCAAGGAAGGACAGGCTCTGATAGCATGTCACAAGAACGAGCAGAAAGTGTAGAAGCAGAAAGAGGGTTTGCATTAGCAGCAGTTGAGATACATATAGGAAACCCTAATTGGGTTGTACTCGCTGTAGAGTACCCCACTGCAGGCTAGACAATTACATCATTCTGACAATCGGGGCCTTGGGCGATGTAAGCGAAATGTAACACGCCTCGCCTTGAGGTCTCGAAAATCCTCGCTCATACATACAGACTGGTGAGAACTGTATGCCATAGCCATCATATGGACCCTCTGTGTAGTACGATAAGAGCGACATTACCACGATACTTGGATTCGCCCATCTCGCCAAAGTTGGGATGCATGTCAGAATATTATCTTATTGTTCTAGCCTGTAGTGGGGTGCTCTATAGCGAGTACAACCCTTCTAGGGTTTGCTATTTGTATCCTCATTCTTGCTAGTTCAATCCTCTTTTTCTTTCTTCTAATTTTGACATGCTATCAGAGCAGGTCGATCCCCTTGGATCGATCCTGTGGGTGTGTCCCCACCTTGCTTCCGCTGCTACTTTTTCATCCCGCCGTGCGCCCCGAGGCGCGCGGCGGTTTTCTGCCCGCCGTGCGCCCCGAGGCGCGCGGCGGTTCATTGCCCGCTGTGCGCCCCGGGGCGCGCGGCGGGCTTCTCCTCTACGTCGCAGCCCCGCCCCGGCCCGTCGCCGCCCGTGCGCCTGCCCGGCTCGGCCCCGCCCTTCGTCGCGGCCCCGCCCCGGCCCGTCGCCGCCCGTGCGCCTGCCCGGCTTGGCCCCGCCCTACCTGTCGCGGTCCCGCCCCTCCGTCGCGGCCCCGCCCCGACCGTCGCGGCCCCGCCCCTCGTCGCGGCCCCGCCCCTGCGTCGCGGCCCCGCCCCTCGAAGCGGCCCCGCCCTACGTCGCGGCCCCGCCCCGGACCCTATGCGGCCCCGCCCTACCTTCGCGGCCCCGACCTGTCGCGGCCCCACCCTACGTCGCGGTCCCACCCCGACCGTCGCGGCCCCGCCCCGCTCGTCGCGGCCCCGCCCCTTGTCGCGGCCCCGCCCTCCCCTCAGGTCCGTGGTGGGCCCCCCCCCCCTTCTCCCCTTCCCCCATTTCCCGTCGCCCGTCGCGGCTCCTTCGGGGGCCGCGAGCTGTGGGGTGGCGGGTATGGGGGTGGCCGGTGTGCCTTCCTCCCTTTCTCCTCCTCCTCCTTCGTCTCCCACTGCTGCAGCTGTCGCTGAGGGGGGTGGTTGTGTGGGAGACTGGGGTTTAGGGTTTTAGGGGGGTGCGTGGGAGTAGAGCTAGTGGTGTAGCAGTGGGTGTGTATCAGGGGGGTGGGACTGTGTGCGGGAGGATGAGCGGAGGTTGCCAGTTTGTCGTCAGCAGCACCTGTAGTCCGGGGCGCTGTCCCGGTAGCCCAGTCGTAGCCAGCTGTGCCAGCCGCCCGTGGGTCCGTTGCCCGTCCGCCGCTATTTGAGCCGCGGGGCCTGTTACCCCTGTAGTCCGGGCGCTGTCCGGTAGCCGCTGTGCCAGTCTGCCTCCTGTTGCCCGTGTGTCTGCAGCTTCAGCCGTCGCCTCCTGTCTCCTCTCCCCTCACTCTCCCTCCTCCTCCTCACTTGCCCGTTGTGACTACCACTAGCTTTGCTTATAATTGTAAACTCTAAACTATTTCTTCTTGAACTTGTGCTCAGAATGTGTGGTGACATTGTGATCCACCCTGAGCTTGTTTTGCTTTGCCTGCTCTGCTGATTACACCCCACTTTGGCTATGGGGGTGTGTCAGAATATTATCTTATTGTTCTAGCCTGTAGTGGGGTGCTCTATAGCGAGTACAACCCTTCTAGGGTTTGCTATTTGTATCCTCATTCTTGCTAGTTCAATCCTCTTTTTCTTTCTTCTAATTTTGACAATGCAACTATCAGGTAATGGGCCACCAGAATATTCGAGGAAAATCAACTCTGATCGGGCGGCTCGAGAAAAATGATCACATGCAATTCGATCCAATCCGACCCGATCAGATCTAAGCCGATCAAAGTCGATTGGGCCCACGTCCTAGACTTGAACCTGCGCTGTGCTACACCTAGTTCTCGATAATTGCACATCCCCTACCCTTTTTCCCCGTATGTACCCTTTACGGACTTTGACTTGATGCGATGGACACCCAGAGATTGCGGGACTAGACAGCTGGCAGGTGCCTTCAGAAAGAAACTCGCACTTAAAATTCGGGGTTGGGGTTTAGTTAGGTTTGGGTTCTCTTTAATATTCTTGGTGCACCCCGACAGTTCGCGAAAGTACGTGGGACCCTCCTCCGCAGTTTTCCTAGACGTTGGTAACTACCCTACGAAACCGATAGGGGTAGGGTAAGTACCCCAGTGTGGGATTAAGGGGTGTAAAATAATCGAGAACAAGGTGTACAAGAAACAAAGAAAGCGGTCATGTTGTACTGTACAAGAGAACAGCTGGGCTGGGCTGGATGCAACCTTACTTGAAGCTGGTCATCGGTGGCGGCTTGCCGATACCCTTTTGGTCTCTGTTCAGGCGTGCCCCACCTGATTTCAAGATTAACAGAGTAATTCGAGGAGAGTCAGACAGGGTTTCTGTTAACGAACCCCGTCCACTTTCTAGTTCATAACAGCAGTTCTCCATAAGCACCGGTGCTTCGGTTCTTGGAGTACGCCGCTCAAGATTCTGTACCAGGTCCCTCGGACAGAGAATTTCAAAAAGATAGGTAAGCTGGGTAGCTCAGTTTGAGTTGGAAACAAGATTGAGCTGTGATTCGAATTTGATATCGACCACGGCACCAGATCAACTGTAAACCACGGATATTCTGGTGCCCCTTGTCTCCCACTGTAGTCTGTCTGTGGCACTCTTTGACTCTTATTCCGAAGTGGAACTCGGATCGGAAACGTGGAGCTTGGCAGTTGGTTTACCTTGAACCTAGTCTCACTTTTTGGGAAGGATTCTCGGAATGTTTGTTGTGGGAGGAAGAGGGTGCGGGAGAGGAGGGGAGAGGGGAACTTATTTGAAACAAATCGAGGCGACCCACCGCTGAACAAAATCTCTAGGGCGTGTGGGATGGAAAGAACAGGCTGGGGGTGGGCGTATGGGTGAGCTTGTCTCACCAACCCTCTCCTACCCCGCTCCACCTTACCTTAACCCACTATACCACCACACCATCCTAACCTGAAAAGCAAACAATTTATTACCTTACCTCAACAAGTCCATTACGCGCCGAAGACAGAAGCAGCTCACTACACCAACGCCACCAGCCGGCGATGGCATGTCCGTTGTTGCGCGGCTGCTGTTCTGCGAGGGTAGGTTGGGTTGGGTTTTCCAGGGCAAAATAGCGGAATGCATCTCTATTTGGCTGAAACACGCAGAACCGGATCGCACCGATTCTTGCCATGAAGGATCCATAACTCTTAGGAGCGTTTATGCTCGTTACAGGAGCGACTGCTCTACAGCCCGCATTGCCGACCTCTATCCTCGTTACGATTCGTTGCCGCCGCGGCTATTCTCGGTACTATGGAATCGATTACTGCGACGCGGTTCAGCCTGCATGATGTCAGAGCGACAGTGCTTCTAATACTGCTATCTTCCATGCAATTCGCGCTGCGAGATCAGTTGACGGAAGGTACGGACGGATCCGAGAAATTTATGCAACTTACCACGCCTTAATCCTGAGCTTGGACTTGAAAAAAACGAGGTATTCTGATTCTCACACTTAGCATCTCCCTCCACCTCCCCTCTCCCTTTCCTTTCCCCGCTTTTTCTCCCCCTCTTCGGGTGTCTTCCCCTTCCCACGGCATCACTCTCTCTCCTCCCCTCTCTTCCATCTTCCGTCTATACCTTCCTCCTCCTCTCCTTCTTCGACACGACATACCAGTTCAATTTGGCTCAGCGAGAACTTCGTATCGCTTTGATTCGAGCGCAGAACAGAGTCTCCTCGCTTCTCCAAACTTCCATCACAGCTTCTCCAATGCACGCCAAGACAGTCGCCCCGCCCTAACCATTCAGCCATCCAACCAACCAACCAACCAACCAACCAACCAACCAACCAACCAACCAACCAACCCGCGCTCACCTGCCTCCATTCCTACCAGCCGCGGCCGTGTCTCTCCACGTGTACTTAGTCCGCCTTCGCTCCGCTCCGCGCCTGCCACCGTCGCGTCGTTGTCCCGGTCCCCCCAACGCATTTCCCCTCCCCTCTCCTCCCCTACCCTCCCCTTCCCTCCCCTCCGTCACCTGCCTCTCTCCCATCCCAACCCCTCCTACCAGCCGCGGTCGTCCCAAGCCGGGTGTACATAGTTCGCCTGCGCTCCGCGCCTGCCACCGTCGCCTACGCGGGCGGTATTCCCGGCTACCCTGCCACTGCCCCTACCGCTTCTTCTTCTGCAGTAGATGGAGGGGCGGGACGAGCAGCAGCAGCAGGAGCAGCAGCGGCAGCAGGAACAGCAGCGGCAGCAGGAGCAGGAAACAAGCCGTTAACCTCCACGAAATCAGCGGAAATGGATTGGCCACGTTGGAAGCAGCGCCCCGGTCCCCGTCCCCCTCGTCCCCCGCGTTTTCCCCCTCTTCCGCGCGCGCGCCTCAACACCCGTGCCTCACACGTGCGCGCATTCGCCGCCATGCTCTCGCGGCAGCAGCGCCAGGTAGCCCAGGACATCCGCCTCCCCGCTCCCAACCTCCTCCACAGCTACACCTACACCAGCAACGCCTTCTCCGCCCTCCTCTCCCCTGAACAGCTCCAAACACTCAAAAGACACCCCATGGTCGCGGATATTCGCCCCAGTGTGGTGATCAAGCAGCTGACGACTGACTCGCCGCGGTTTCTGAAGCTGCCTGGGTCGCTGTGGAAGGCTGGTGGGGGACGGAAGAGGGCGGGCGCGGGCGTGGTGATTGGGGTGGTGGACACGGGGATCTGGCCCGAGCACCCCTCGTTCCAGAAAAATGTGAGTTGAGTTGTTGCTGGTGGCGAGGCGATGTGAGTTGTGTTCTTTTCATGTTGCTACGACATCTGCTGGTGCTCTATTGTTGTTGTTGTTATTGTTGTTTTTTTTTTTTTTGAAGTCATTATGGTTCCTGTGTCCCAGTCTGTGTTCTTCTCACTCTCTTTCGCGCTCTTTCTCTCTCCTTCTCTCACTCTCTCTCCCCTTCTCCTGACCTCGTGCGCTCTGCTCTCGTAGCTGTGTCTCAGGAGCTGTTGCTATGGTCTGCGCTACTCATCCATCTCCACCCTCCCTCTCTTCGCCCTTCCTTCCCCCGTATCTTCCTCCCTCCCAACCTTCTCTCACCCATCTCCCACCCCACCCTCCCACTCCCTCAACAGCGCTTCACCTCTCCCGCAGACCGCCCCCCCCCTCTCCCCCAACTGATCCGGTAGGTGTGCACGCACGTCCGACTTCAAGGGGTGCTCTTCCCAGCTCATCACCCATCCACACACCCTCCCTCCCTGTCTCCCTCCCTCCCTCCCAACCATCCAACCCTGCAGCGCTCCTCCTCGCCGGCAGACCGCCCCCCCCACTGGTCGGGCACGTGTGCGCGCACGTCCGACTTCAAGGGGTGCTCGTCGAAGCTCATCGGAGCGCGCTTCTTCCTGGCGGGCTTTGCGGCCTCGGGATTCTCCATCAGCCCCTCGGGGGACTACCTCTCCCCCCGCGACACCAACGGCCACGGCACCTGGTGTGCCGGGTGAGTCATGGGCGCGTGGGCGGGGTGTGTGGATGGGCGGGTGGGTTAATGGATGGGTGGTTGGGCAAATGGTAGAGTGAGTGTCTGGGTGACCGTGTGCTGATGATTGTATGAGTCGGTGTTGACGAGAGGAGTTTCTCTTAGTGCTGCAAGCACGAGACGGCCTTCAAAGGCCACATGGCATGGCATGCCCATTTCTCTCACGAACATCTCTCCTAGGCATTCCGATGTGACTCACAACACAATACCCAAAAGTCACCACCACGCATTTCCTTTACACAACACCTCTCTAGACTCGAGCAGCACTAGGCGTTCCTTCAATTCGTATGGAGAATCCTAGGAAGAAATGGAAGCATGCACTTACAAGCAGCTCCCTTGCACCCGCCGTTGTTCCCTCACTCCCACATCCTGCACCACCCTCATCCTCTCCTTCCTTTCCCAATCCTTCTCCCCTGCCCTCTCCCCCTTCCCCTCCACTCCCTCTCCCCATTCCCCTCCCCCATCCATCTCCCCCTAGCGATCGTTATCATTTAATATAATAAACGGTACAGAAACAATTGGTAGGTTGGGCAAAGCCAATGCTATGCAGGGCAAGGAAACAAGGGGGGTGCGCGAGGCAGGTAATGCAGCACAAGTAATGCCCCTCTCTCTCCCCCATCCCTCTCTCTCCCCCGTCCCTCTCTCTCCCCCATCCCTCTCTCTCCCCCGTCCCTCTCTCTCCCCCATCCCTCTCTCTCCCCCATCCCTCTCTCTCCCCCATCCTCTCTCTCCCCCGTCCCTCTCTCTCCCCCGTCCCTCTCTCTCCCCCGTCCCTCTCTCTCCCCCGTCCCTCTCTCTCCCCCATCCCTCTCTCTCCCCCGTCCCTCTCTCTCTCCCATCCCTCTCTCTCCCCCATCCCTCTCTCTCCCCCATCCCTCTCTCTCCCCCGTCCCTCTCTCTCCCCCATCCCTCTCTCTCCCCCGTCCCTCTCTCTCCCCCGTCCCTCGCCCCCCGCCACCCAACAGTGCAGCAGCAGGCAGGCACGGGGTAATAGTCCGCCCACCCCTGCGCACCTCCCCAGGAGCAGCCAGTGGCATGGCGCCAGGGGCGCACCTCGCTGTGTACAAAGTCTTCTGGCAGGAGGCGCAGTCAGGCGCCCTCTTTGCCACCTCTGCCGACGTCGAGGCGGCCGTTGATGCGGCCGTGGCGGACGGTGTGGATGTGCTCAGCCTGTCGCTGGGCGCTCTGGATCCCAGTGCGACCTACTTTACGGACCTCACGTTTCTCTATGCCCACGCGGTCAGTCTCTCTCTCTCTCTCTCTGACTCTCCAAATCTCTGACTCTCCAAATCTCTCTCTCTGTCGCTGCTGCTCTGGTGACTGGTGCGAAAAATATCCCAGCCTGTCGCTGGGCGCTCTGGATCCCAGTGCGACCTATTTCACCCACCTCATGTTTATCTATGCCCACGTGGTGAGTCTTTCTGAATCCTTGCTGCTCTGCTGCTCATGATTTACTGTTTGTGCCACTCTTTTTCTTATACACCACGGCCTCAGCCTGTCGCTGGGCGCTCTGGATCCCAGTGCGACCTATTCACTGACCTCACGTTTCTCTACGCCCCCTCAGTGTGTCTCTCTATCGCCGGGCTGCGCTGGTGCTCGTGGCGCTTATCGTTCTATCACTATCACTGCACATGGCCCCTCTTTCGCACCTCTTAACCCTGTGACGGGCCTCTCTCCCTTCCCGCACACCTCTCTCTCGCCTTCTGCTCACATGCAGGCGGGCACGGTGGTGGCATTTGCAGCGGGCAACGAGGGCTTCCCGGGAAGCGGCTACGAGATGTACCGAACGATCAACAACTTCTCGCCCTTCTACATCACTGTTGGCGCCAGGTCAGCTGCCAATAGTCCTTCCCTTCCTCTCGTCCTCTCTCATACTCTCTTTCTCTCTCCGCCTTGCTTGTCTCAACCTCATGCTTTCCCAAATAACACCACGGCGTCTTAACCCAAAACACACCATCAAGCCAGACACTCACGATGCGTGCTATGCCCTGTCTATCGCACTATACATTGTTCATTTCACGTCTGTGCCTAGCAGTTGTCAGTTCATGCCTCCCAATTGTTTCGTTCAAGCCTCTGAATATATATTCTCTATCCTTCATACTTTCTTGCAGCAAGTCAATTGCTCTTTTTCTGCTTGCAGTCTCTGGTGCGTTTTTGTTTGGCATTCCTCGTCTATTGCTCATCACGCTTCCACTCCTCCAATCCCATGTTTCACTTCACCAGCACCATTAAAAGGAGAAAAAATAAAGAGATCGCCCGGTTCCGATCCGCGGGGCTCAAGTTGGAGTCCCAGGACAAATCACAGCAGACGGGGCTGGACTTTCTCGGTGTCTGCGATGATTCTGATGATGATGGTGATGTTGCCTGCAATGGCAACCAAGCAGCTGATATCGTTCTCAGTAGCACTGCTGCCATCATTTCCACTTCTGCAATTGCAGCAGCTGCAACAACTCCTGCGGTTGTCGGTGGTGGTGGTGGTGGTGGTGGTGGTGGTGGTGGTGGTGCTGCTGCTTCTGGTGCTGCTCCAGGTTCAGATGTCCCTGCAGCTAACAGCAGCACCGCAAGCACGGAGCTGCTGGAAAAGACTGTGAGAATACCGGAAGCACAGCCAAGGTCTACTCAGCCAGCCGCAAGGGCTGCTGCGTTTCACCCTGACATAGCCAAGACTCTAGCAGCACAGTGTGTCCCAGGGTGGGTGGATTGTGCTGCCGTGAAGGGCAAAGTGGTCGTGTGCAGCAGCGGTAGCAGCAGAAGCAGCAGCACCGCCAGCGGTAGCAGCAGCGGAACCATTTCTGAGGCCCAACAGGTGGCAGCGCTGGCTGCCTGCCAGGCTAAGGCTGTGGTGCTGCTACCCAGCAGCACCGCACCTGCTGCTTCTACTGCAGGTGCTTTCGGCAGGCTTGGTGAGGGTGTTACCTCTGATGCCAACGCTGCTGCTACTGCTGCTGGCGGAGATGGTATTGGTGGTGGCCGCGGTGGTGGTGGTGGTGGTGATGGCGATAGTGCCACTGCTGCTGCCGCTTTGGTTGATTCCGGCACTAGCAGAAGCATTTCCATTAGTCCCAGCAGGCGAAGCAGGCCTGTGTTTGTTGACTCGTACTCGTTGCCGCTTCTGCGGCTGGACACCCGCTCTGCAGCGCTGCTCCACGCGTTCCTACGGGGAACCAGGACCAGGTCAGTAACTGGCTCAAGGTATTTCTGAGGCGCTTTCTCTTACATGTGTGTCGCTCACTCTTCCTCCTTCCCGTGCCTTCCCTTCCCTTTCCTGGCAATGCCGTGGCAACGCCCTTTGTGCTTTCTTTTGCACCCCTTGCTCTCCTGTTCTCTCCCCAATACTTGTTTGTTCTTGTTAAAGCCCCAACGCAGCCAATCAGCTCATCCATCCCCTCACCTTCCTCTCCACTCACCACCACCCTCAGTCTCCTCACCCTGCTCACTAACCTCCCTCTTGCCCCCTTCTTCCTCTTTCATACCTTCCCTTATCCCTCTCTTACCCCCTTCCGTACGCTCTCCCTTACCCCAATCCCAGAGCTACTGCCGCGCTCATTGCTTCTATTCACTCCATCACCAAAATGGCTCCTGCTGTCCCTTACTTCTCCTCCACGGGACCTCTAGCTCCTGCCGACGACGCACCCTCGCCGCCCTACCCCACCAACGACATCTTAAAGCCCGACATTCTCGCTCCCGGCGTCAAGCTCTGGTCCGCCGCTCCTGGAAAAAGAGGGTTGATTTTCCGCCGCGCTGCCTTTGCGAAGATGTCCGGGACGTCCATGGCGACGCCACACATCGCGGGGATCGCCGCGCTGCTGATCCAGCGGCGTCCCGCGTGGACCCCCGCGCAGATCATGTCCGCGATTATGACGACCGCGAGCACGCGGAACAATAAAGGCGGGAAAATAAGGGGGTCGACGGGGGGACACGCGACCCCGTGGGAGATAGGCTCGGGACAGGTGAACCCGCCGAGGCTTCTGGATGCGGGCCTGACGTACGACATTTCGCTCGGAGATTTCAAGGATTTTCTCGCCGGGCAGAATCAAACAGTGGCGAAGCTGGAATGGCCGTCCGATACGCTCACGGCGACACCAGCTTATAATCTCAACAGGCCGTCGATTTCCGTGACTCGGTTGTCGGGATCCGTTACTGTTACACGTTATGTCACAAGTGTATATTCGGAAACAACGGTCTACACCGCTGTTGTGGAAACGCCAGCAGGTGTTTCGATAAATGTTAACCCGGGGAGCTTCGCCATTGCACCAGGGGAGACGGTTTCTTATGAGGTGTATATTCAGGTCTTGCAAAAGAGAAGAGGGTTCTCGTATGGGAGTTTGACATGGCGGGACAATAAAGGGCATAGTGTAAGATCGCCAATAGTTGTTCAACTCCTAGATGTCTAAAAGTTGTAAAAAGTGTTGCACTAATTATAACCATACATCTAGCTGGTGGTGAAACCTTTAGCTGGACTTGGATTGATAATCAACTTGTACCACATGGATGACTGTCTTTTCTATTTATGTCGAATTCACCAAAATCTGGCACAATGCTGGTCTCCATACCGGACTTTCCGAAGCAGGCAGTGGGACCATGTGCAGCTTGGCTCGGCGCGCTGTGTTGACTTCCAGAACGCTGCTCCCTGCCTATGTCTCGCCGATAGTTGCACGCCTCGCGTCGTCGTCAGAGCCGTTGGCTTTTATAGCTGCTGCTGCAAATTCCCGTTTCGCCACTCGATGTGCGACCAGCAACGTCGCTGAACGACACTTATACGACCACGGTCACCAGTCCCTGTCACTAGCTCGCAATCCCGTCGGTCGTTGCTACATGACACGTGTTTCTCTGTCATTGGCGCATCATGCTTCCTTCTCGCCAGCTCCTAGCAGCCCCAGTAGGTGGATCGTAAGCAGAGGCGGGTCTGGGTTTGCCACCGCGCGATTCGGGGATCGAGATCGGAATCAGAATCAGAATCAGAATCAGAATCAGAATCAGAATCAGAATCGGGGTCGTCCAATATTTCCAAGAGCACGGCTCTTACTCATGACATATACTCCTCCTTTTCTATCATCTCCTCTTCAATCGGCTCCTATGGCGTTATCCCCGCTAACATCGACTCCTCTCAACTCGTCTCCCCTGCGGTCGTCTTCCCTGCCGCCGCCTCCCCTGCTATCGTCAGTCTCTGCCCTCCTCTGGTTTACTCAAAGCGTCTCCTCTGCTCGTCCTCTTTCTGTGACTCAGAAACAGACTCCCCTGCTATCGTCAGTCTCTGCCCTCCACTGGTTCAGTCGAAGCGTCTCCTCTGCTCGTTCTGTTTCTGCGTGCGCTCGGCGCGAAGGTAGAACTCCTGGCACTGTAGCAGCGGATCAGGAGCGGGAAACGGGTCGAGCTGTATCGGGTACAGCGGATGCGTGGTGGGACAACGAGGGGCAGGAGGAGCTGGCGAGGATGAGAGATGAAACAGGAGGTGCATGGGACGGGGGGGTAGAGGAAGGGATTGAGGAGGAGAGGGGGGAAGAGGAGCGAGGACGAGGAGGAGAGAGGAGGAAGAAGGGCAAGAGGAGGGGGCCTGCTGATGTGGAAGAGCAAAGGGAGGGTGTTGAAGCTGGGGGCTGGAGGGAGAGTGGTAGTGAGGGGTGGAGGGAGAATGGGAATGAAGGGTGGGGCGGGCGAGGGAGGGAGGGAGGGAGCGAGAGGGGGAGTGAGAGAGGGAGTGAGGGAGCGAGTTCCATGTCTGCGGCAGAGCTCCTTGCTCTCTCTGACGCGCACCTGTTGCAGCAGTGTGAGGTGGACACGTACAGGGCGTCAGGCCCTGGGGGGCAGCACCGCAACAAGACAGAGTCTGCCGTCCGCATCCGGCATAAGCCGACAGGCTGTGTGGCTCAGGTGATATGCACTGACAATCAGTGCTCACCACTTCCCTTTCACCACTTCCCTTTCACCACTTCCCTTTCACCACTTCCCTTTCACCACTTCCCTTTCACCACTTCCCTTTCACCACTTCCCTTTCACCACTTCCCTTTCACCACTTCCTTTTCACCACTTCCCTTTCACCACTTCCCTTTCACCACTTCCCTTTCACCACTTCCCTTTCACCACTTTCCTTTCACCACTTCCCTTTCACCACTTCCCTTTCACCACTTCCCTTTCACCGCTCCCTGCTCGCTGCTCACTGCTTACTGCCCCTAGCCTCTCCGACCATCCTGCACCTGGTGATTTGTAGTCTCAATGAAGCTTTCTCTTTCACTTTTGAAGAAGACCTCCACCGCTGCTCTCTTCTGAGACGTCTCAAAAGTCTTTTGAGACGTCTCAAAAGTCATCCTGCACCTGGTGGTGCCAATGAGGCTTTCTCTTTCACAATTTCAGAAGACCTCCACCGCTCCGCTGCTGTCCCTTCCCCACCCATACCCATCACATCACACCTCCCCTCACTCCTCATTTCAATGCCTTTTTGTCTCCCCCCCCTCCCCGCTCCCTCCCTTGATTTCTCCATCCAACCTTCCTCTCTCGCTCACTCCCCCCCTCCACCCTTTCCCTCTCTCTCTCTCACTGCACCGGCCCTCCAGTCCTGTGAGCAGCGATCACAGCATATGAACAAGGCCACGGCCCTCGTTCGCCTTCGCCAGGCCATTGCCCTCACAGGCGCGTTCATGCCTTCATGTGCTCGCTGCCTTGCTTCCTCACTACTAGCCATGTTGTTGTTCAGTGAATTTGTGTGTGTGTGTGTGTGTGTGTGTGTGTGTGTGTGTGTGTGTGTGTGTGTGTGTGTGTGTGTTTTTTTTTTTTTTCTTTCTTTCTTTCTTTCTTTTTCTTTTCCGAACAGCACATTTTATTCTCTCGCATATGTTTGCATTTGTTAACCCGTTTTGGGTTTTAGTGCCCAAGGAGTAGCGGTCCATCGCTAAAAACTTTCGCCCGAAGGTGCGCTTTCAGCGACTTAGCTTGCGGGCCTGCTCTTGAGAGCTCACTCAATGCATCCATGCCTCCTCTCCTCGATACCTCCATGCATCCATACTTTTGTGTATATGCATACATGCAGTGCGCACGCCCATCCATCTGCCATCCTACGAGCCCTCGCCGGGCCTCCTCCGCATCTTGCCTCGCTCTGCCTCCCAGCCTTCGAAGCTGAAGCAACACCAAAAACAGCAGCAGCAGCAGCAGCCCTCCAATGGCGACGCTGCCACTGCTGCCAGCCCAACCCTGTCGGAAGGAGTGCCTGTTGGCGGGGACAGCACTGCTGCCAGTAGCAGTGGTGGTGATGCTGGCACTGGCAGTGGTGCTGGTGGGAGTGGGAGTGCGAGTGGGAGTGGGAGTGGGAGTGGGAGTGCGATTGGGAGTGGGAGTGCGAGCAAGGCAGCAGCAGTGAGGAAGGTGAAGGATCGCATTGGGCCGAACCATGCTGACTTCCACAAGGTGGGTGCTGCGCTGCATGGGATGCCACTCATGAGGATGCATGCATAAAGCGCCTGAGTAGTGCACTGCACTGCACTGCACTGCACTGCACTGCACTGCATTGCACTGCACCGCACAATGCCAAGGATCCGATCCCATCCCATCCATGCATGGTCACATCACAGCTGTTACACACCTCAACCCTCACAGCAGCAACAACCCCCATGGCCATCAATATCCTCCCATTCCGCAACCTCCTCTCTCTATGCTACTATGATTCTTTTCTCTCTGCCTGCCTGCCTCCCCGCACACCCACCCACCTGACCGCCCACCCGTCTGACCACCTGCCTGCGTGCACACTGGGCGCCAGTGAGCTTCTGGACGTGCTGTAAGCTCATGCTGGGAATGACGTCTCAAAACCTGCCTGCCTGCCTGCCTGCCCGCCTGCCTGCCTGCCTGCCTGTCTGCCTGCGTGTGTGCATGCAGGGCGCCAGTGAGCTTCTGGACGTGCTATCAGCCCATGCTGGGAATGTCTCTGCTACGGCCACCACCCTCGGGTCCGCACCGCACCCCTTCCTTCCCCATGCCCCAAATCCACCATGTCATTGCCCTGCCCCTCCCATACTGCCTCGGCGTTGTCTTGGCGTTGTCTTGGCGTTGTCTCGGCGTTGTCTCGTCGTTGTCTCGTCGTTGTCTCGTCGTTGTCTCGGCGTTGTCTCGTCCTTGTCTCGTCGTTGTCTCGGCGTTGTCTCGGCGTTGTCTCGGCACTGTTTCGTCATTGCAGTAGCTTCCTGCGTTTCCCTGTCTCATCTCTCGTCCCAGTCATCGTCCTGTCCTGTGAGACACACACGCTTATCCACCACCGCACCCAACCCAACCCAACCCACCACTACACTACAGCATCTCCACAGACAAGACAGCCACCCTCGTCAAGCACCCTGCTGCTGCGTACATCCCTGAACTTCCTCGAATTACCTCTCTCACTCCACTCCACTCCACTCCACTCCACTCCACTCCTCTCCACTCCACTCCACTCCATGCTGACATTTCTCACACTTTCTCTGACTGCAAAACACACTCCTCATTTCTCCCTCACATCACATCACACCCCCCCAAACCTCCCAATACCTCCGCATCTCCACCGCCGCCCTCCTAAACTGTTTCAATCAATCCTCTCTTGAGCCATGCCAAACTTCTCTCTCTTTACACAGTCAAACGCCCTCCAGCCGCTTCACCCTGTTCCCTTCCCTCTCGCCCCCCCCTCCTTCCCAATCGTTTTCCCCTTCCTCCAACACACAATGCAGTATTTCCACCGGCGCCCTGTCAAAGATGCTGCTATCTGACTGGGGCCTCTTGCCACGAGCCAACGAGCTGAGAGCCAAACTTCTCACTTCACATCACAGTCAAACTCCCTGCTGACCCTCCCCCCCTTTTCCCTCACTCCCCCCTCCCTTCAACACACAATGCAGTATCTCGACAGGCGCCCTGTCGAAGCTGCTGCTATCTGACCGGGGCCTCTTGCAACGAGCCAATGAGCTGAGAGCTGCCAAGGTGCGGAAATCCCGAGATTGCGTCACAGGATATGCGGCACTGCAGTGCGGTGTGCATTGCATGCAGTGACTTATGATTCGACTCAAAGGTCACTACAATGCAGCGCGTCGCATTTGGGTGCGGTGCGAGTGATGGATTTTTAATTTCTCTATCTACCCTATTTCTTCCCCCCCCCCCCCCCCCCCCCCCACCCTACCCATTAACCTCTTTGCCTCTCTCTGCATGCTGTTGTGTGTGTGCTGCTTGCCGTTTGCTGCTGCATGTTGCTTGCTGCTGTCAACGTCCTTTCACAGGGCTTGAAGCCTCTCCGGTGAAATTGTCACATGAGTTAAGGCTCGAGAGGGTTACTGCCGGACCGTTGCTGTATGTCTATCTAGTCCCCATTCCCTTGTATGTGAGATGCACACTTTTGGGACGAGATTATATGGACATGAATGCATTTCCATGGCTAAGGATGCCCCAGGCCAGGACTAGGGAAGACCAGTGCCACTCTGTGTTTAGTGTTTAGTGTTACTTACTCGAACTTGTTTTATCCACCACACTAGTAGACACGCGTGGTTGAGGTGTTGGATGGAAGGGTGAAGAAAAGACATCCAAAGAAGTTGGTTTCGTGGCAGGGGCCCAACCCAAGTATCGAGTACAGCCAAGCCCAGCAGACGAAGAAGAGGGCTACAAGGCAGTCTACCTACAAACGAATCCCTATGTGACGCGCAGAAAATCAATAGGTACTAGTATAGGCAGACAGAACAGAACATAGCCCGGCAGGCAGCACTGGAAAAGAAGAGAATAACACGTCTCCCCACCATCCCTGCTAGGTTTGATCAACACACATCACTTCACCAGTCCATTGACTCTGACACGTTACAACTCCTGGCGCATCACCTGACAACCTGAAAAGCCTTCAGCCTGACAGCCTGACTCCACGTACCACACGGTACACCTTACGGCCACGAGTCCCAACTCTCAACACCCCCCGAGCTCCAGATTCTAGACTCCGAACACTTCCCATACTCTTTCTAGACCGCCCTGCCTGACTATGCCTGCCTGCTCACCACATCCCAACTCTGCTTTACTCTCCCCAGCTCTCCTCAACTCTCCCACCTCCACCTCACACTTGCACCCTCTACACTCCCCTTCACCTAAACACAACCTTCACTGCTCTGGGGCTGGAACAACCGCAACAGCACAACCGGAACAGCTTCAGCAATCCCACCCCACCCCCCTTCCCCTGTCCTTCCTTCCCCAATTGCCTCCACTGGAACAGCGCACACAGATTGTTGCAATGGGTGGCCCTCTTACACAACCAGCCTGTCCCCCCTACCTGCTTCCTGCACCTTCCTCTTCTCCTTCTGCCTGCCTCCTCTTCCTCCCCCTCCTCTCTCCCTCCTCCGTCCTCCCGCCTCCGCCCCCCCTCCTGCCTTCCTACTCCTTCCCTTGTCCCTGCTAGCTCCATACCTCCAGTCAACGGTTGAGAAACTCCGGCGAATTAGGCTCTAAGCGGAGGACGCTTTAAGCGCGGCCTTGAGCTTCTCAGCCTGGATATACGCCGTGGAATACGGCAGGAACTCCGACTTATGCTGCTCCGCCAGCCAGTGCGCCGACTCCGCCAGCTTCGGAATCTCCGCCACTTCATCCGCCGTCAGCTCGCGCACGAATTTCGCCGGGCTGCCCGCCCAGAGCTGCCCGCTGGGAATCAGCTGCCCGGGGCCCACCACCGTGCAATCCGCGAGAACGGCGTTCTTTTCCACGATAGCTCCTTCGAGGACAAGGCACCGTTGCCCGATAACCACCTCGTCTTCGATCTCGCAAGATCGCAGCACGGAGTTCTGCCCAACGGTCACATACCTCCCTACCGTGGTTTCCGCGGAGAGACCAGTCGGGGAGGCCGACGCGGCGTGCACGACGACGCGATCCTGAATGTTGCTGTACGCGCCGATGCGGATGTAGTTCAGATCGGCGCGCAGCACGCTGCCGTACCAGACGGACGCGCGGTCGTCGATCGTGACGCCGCCCGCCAGGATCGCGTTCGGCGCGACCCACGCGTCGACTGCCACGTCAGGCACCATGTGGTTGATCGGCACGAGCTGCCGCTGCCGGTTGTAAATCTCGCGGTAGAGGTAGTTAGCGGCAGGCGCGGAGGTCGCAGCAGCAGCAGCAGCAGCGGCAGAGGCAGGAGGAGTGGCAGGAGCGGCGTTGGCGGGAGCGGACGTGGATTGACGCTGCGACGCGACGCGGAACGGGGCGATCGAGGCGGCGCAGGAGGTGTCGAGGAGGGTGGCCAGCGCGGGGCTGCGCGCCGCGGCAAGATCGAGGAGATGCGACGCGCGGCGGCGGGACGCGGGCGCGAGGATGTGAGACCAACGCGCCATGGTGGCTCGAGTGGGGAGTTTAACGACGGGTCTAGAATGCGACGCGCTATCTGCCAACGGCGAGGATCGGGAGAGCGGAGGGGCGAGATGGGGTGACGCGCGTGGCAAACCTTCCCCGACGAAAATGGAAGCGGCGGGGTGATGGGAGGGAGTGGACTCCCAGGCGTGGATTGCGGCGGAAGAGACGGAGGAGCAAGGGCAGCCCCGGACTGCAGCTGGGGTGAAGGGAGTGAGTGAGCAGTGGGGGATGGGAGAGATTCCGGGTGGGAAACGTGATGAGGTGAGGAGGGGGGAAGGGGGAATGGGGGCAAGGGGAACACGAAGCGGGGGGACGGGACGGAGGGTTCGGCCGAGGAAAGGAGGCGGAGAATGTAATTGGCGGAGCGCCGTAAGGAAACGAAGAGGTTGGGGGATGGGGCGCTCGCAGCGGCGCCACATGGCATGTGGCGCACTCGTGGTCCCCCATATGCTGGAGAATTGCATTTGTGGTAGGTTTTGCAACCAATCAGTTTTGAATTCGCAGGTGTACTGGTACTGAAACCAGTTTGCCAATGTGGCTTCTTGAATTCCAAGAACGCTTAGTTTTTGTCACATAATAATATCAACACTTGCAATGTCTCTTCTACATCAGCCGAAATGGTAAGTCCCATATGTAGACTGTATAAGCTGCTTCAACATGCAGAATCGCATCTCCAGCAAACGTTGCTTATACCTAGACTACACGTCTTTCAGCAGAGCTACGAAACAATGGAAATTTAATACCAGTCATCGTCATCATCTACAAAGCCACCTTTCCTCGGCCCTTCGTCCTCATCATCCTCCACATCCTCCACATCGAGACGATCACAGTCATAGAAGCTATCCACACTCTCATTAGGTCGAATAGTGCCAGCAGCATCAGTTGCAGTCTCGACCTGACCAGCAGTGGCACCGGCGTCAGAACCAGCAGCGGCAAGAGTAGCAGCAGGTGTGCCATTTGCAGCTGATACGATTGCCTCTGCTCCATCTGAGACAGCATTCCCATCACCTGCGGCCTCAGAAGCAACAGGAATTGTTGCAGCAGCTGCCGCAGGTGCAGCAGGTGCAGCAGGTGCAGCAGAAGGCACAAGCGATGCCACAGCAAAGTCTGCAAACGGATCGTTGTCCTCGCCTTTCTTAGCTGCATCCGAGCCTGCTGCTCCTGTCAGCGTCTCGAAGACCAGAAGGCCAGAATCAGGAACTGCAGATTTACTGCCGAAGGGACCTGCTGACTCAGCAGAAGGTGGTGTTGACTCAGCAAGTGCAGGAGCAACAGCAACAGCAGCAGCAGCAGGAGCAGGAGCAGACACCAGGAAATTGTCAAAGGAATCAGCATCCACTGCTTCTGCTGGTGTTGCTGCTGCTGCTGCTGCTGCTGCTGCTGGGATCGCTGGTGCTGCCTGGGAGGACAGATCAACGGCCTGAAAGTCATCCCAGTCGTCACCATCGTCCACAGCAGTTGATGCATCTGCAACCGCTGCAACTACTGCTGGTGCCTCTGCAGTAAATGTGTCTGCAAGCTCTCCTCCTGGTGCAACTGCAGCAGCTTCAGATGCTCCCTGAGTAAACGCTTCCACCACAACACCGTTCGTAACCACCTCCACTCCACCCACCAAATCTGCAACGGCAGCTGCTGCTGTTACTCCTCCTGCTGCTGTGGCCGCTGATGCATCTTCACCTGTGCTATCTGCCCCGCTCCCTTCCAATGCCATCGCCTCACCACTTCCACTCGCCTCAAGGCTAACTTGCACAAAATCTTCCTCTGACAATCCCGCAACGTCAGCTGCAGCCGCTGCTGCTTCTACATCTGCTGGTTCCTGTGCTTCTGCTACCGGTTTAGTACTTTCCTCCAGATCTGCTGCTGTTTGGATAGCAGGAACAGCAGGAGCGGGAGCAGCAGGAGCAGAAGCAAAGGAGTCTTCGAAATCACCCCAGTCGCTGTCATCTACAGCTGCTTCAGCACCATCACCAGCACCTGCTGTTGCTGCCATTGCTTCCGTTGCAGCTTCTACTGGTGCTTCTGCTGCTGCTCCGATTGCTGCCTCTGTTGCAGCAGCAGCAGCAGCAGCAGCAGCAGCAGCAGCAGCAGCAGCAGCAGCAGCAGCAGCAGCTGCTGCTGTTACTTCTGGCTGGATAGTGGTTGAAGGTGGTGCGGAGGAGAAATCAGTAAAGTCTCCAAAATCATCATCGTCCTGTTGGGAGCGCAAATGGAGGGATGAGAAAAGTTAACGATAGGAGGGAGTGGTGTCACTTCAAGCACAAGACGTGAGAGACAACATGACTTGGCGTGACAAGGGCAACGACACGACAATAGGGACAGCATGAAATGGCATGGCATGACACGAGATGGCACGAGAAACAAGGACTTAAGGTACTCAAATGACCAGGAAATGGCATGGCATGACACGAGATAGCACGAGAAACAAGGACTTAAGGTACTTGAAGGAGCCGAAAAATGGTAAGATATCCATGCTGCATTTGAGTGACTCAAAAGAAGAAACGGGGCACTGGTGCAAGAGGAGCCGAAAACTGGCAACCAAAGCATGCTGCAGCAAGCAGAAATCCTACCTCATCTAGTGAGTCTGCAGCAGCACTGCTCACACCACTCTCCCGTGCCACACCCACCCCATCCTCTCCCCCTCCCGCCCCTGCTTTGTCCGCTTCAGACAAGCCATTCTCCTGTGCCAAACGGCTAGCTTCTGACACAGCCGAATCGCCATCAACAGCAGCGTCTGTTGCAGCAGCTTCAGCAGCAGCGGTATCGTCAGTGGCGGAGGGGCGTGCACTGGGGGGGGCTGTACTGGTGGAGGTGGAAGTGGTAGAGGAACGAATAGACTGAAACTCAGCCCACTCATCATCATCATCGTCATCACTAAACCCTCCCATGTTCCCAGCAGTGGCCTCCGCAGCAGCAGCGGCAGTAGCAGCAGCAGAAGAGGTGGTGGTGGTGGTGGTGGTGGCTGCAGCAGTGTCTGAGCTTGCAGATGAGGCAGAGAGGCGGGAGGCGGAGAGCTGGGTGAGAGGAGGGGGCTGGAAAGGCGAGGTGGAGGGAGAAGAGGAGGAGGGAGGGGGAGGTGCGAGGAAGCCTTTAGATGGGGCGCTTGAGGGGAGAGGGATGGGAGGAGGAATGGCGGTGCTGGTGGTGGTGGTGGAGGGGGGAGGAAGAGATGGGGAAGAGACTGTGGGGAGAGGTGGAGGGGCGAGAGGAGCAGCAGGGGAGGAGGAGGAGGAGACACGGCGTTGCTGTGATTGCTGGACGGAGGACTTGATCACGGTCTGCAGAGGAGGGCCAGAGAGGAAGGCAGGGGAGGAAGGCAACAGATGGAAGACAGAAAATAGTGGATCATGTGGACGGCAAGGAGGATTTGGGAATGGGGTGTATTTTGAGGCGCCTCAAAATACACCTCACTACACGCGGAAGGCAACAGATAGGAGACAGGAAATAGCGGATTGTGTGGACGGCAAGGATTGGGAATGGCAAGGACGGGCGGGGCAGAGTGGGAAGGAGGGGATGGTGGATGCGGACTATGTGGGAGAGAAAGGAAGAACTAGGACGAGGAGGTGGGCAGGGGAGGGTGGGATAGCGATGAAGCAGCTGCAGCTGAAGCAACGTACCTGGAGCTGTAGCTTGGTGGCGGGGGGGAGGGCGGCGGTGGCAGCTTGCAGATTGGCGGGGAAGGCGGTGGCGAGGTGGGTGATGAGCTTCACTGCCATGCCTATCACTGCTGCCTGCGTTGGGCTCTGCTGCTGCCCCTCCTGGTCCATACGAGCATGGGGGGATGGGAGTTGGGAAGGGAGGGATTTTGGGAGGGAGGGAAAGAGGCAGGAGGAAACTGAACACATGTGGCACACCTGGCAATTGACTTGCCCTTTTCCATGACATTCCCACATGGAAACTGAAAACCCTCACTATGAACTCTCTGTGCGCTCTCCTTGAGACTCGAACCTTCGTTACACAGAAACACATGCCCGCACCACACATGCACGCATCCACATGCCCACAACGCACCCACCCACCCACCCACACACACACGTCTCGCCGCAACACACACGCGCCCCCACACGGTATTACCCCTCCCGCCGGC